CACCTTATTGTCAACCTTGCGGGCACCTGTGTGTTGTGGGGATTTAATCAGCTGGTTGGCTGCTGTGCTGGGCCGTGGCTTCCTGTGTGAAGACACCATGGGGGAGCAATGAGAGAGCCTCGGACAAGGAAGGGAGGGAGCCCTGAGCGCTGGGCCCCGCATGAGCCGAGGTCTAGCAGCCCTGTGTCTCCCGCAGCAGCTTCACTGTCACTGGCAGCAGTGGTGACAGTAACAGCCAGAAATGCTCCCATCAGACCTTAAAGTTTATAGAACCTGTCACAGCCTTCACGTTGCCGTTTGATGCTCCTAAGAGGCCTGTGTCACGTCCCTGTCTTACGGATGAGGAATTGGGTTCAGGATGACGAGGTGGCTTGCTGAGGGTCCTCTAGCTAGTTGAGTGGTGGAGCCAGAAAGCCTTCTGCTGCTTCCACCTGCTTTGTTTCTTCTACCAAACTTTGTTGCTTAACCGGCCAGGCTCTGGGGACGTGGAGAACCTTACCTCAGCGCTGGGCCGGGAGGAGCCCCTGTCTGAGGGGCGGCTGGGCTCCAGCTCATGATGCCTCCACGCCCCCAGCTCCGCACAGGCTGTGGGTGAGCTCTGCACCTCCCAGACAGAGGTCACCAGGGCCCGCCTGACTGCCAAATCCAGTGACCTCATTTTAGCTCTTGCCCTGAGTTACCTCTTGTGGCTTTTAACTCCATTCTCTTTTCTCTCCTTGACAAGTTTACTAGCCCCAGCTCCCAACCTCCCTCTGCCTTCGATTCTGTCTTCACAGTGTCCTTTTACTGGTTCATCCTGTGCTGCCCCCACAACCCCTTATTTTGTGCCTCCCGACTCTGTCCCAAGTGTCTTCCTTACTCCCCTTGGACGGTTCTGGTCACTTTCATGCTTTGGCTTCTGTCTCATGTTCTGTGATTCCAACGTCCAAACAGCTGTCCCTGTGGACTCACTCCCTGTGCCCGTGTCTGTGCTGGTACTTTGTGTTCATTCTTATCCTCACGGTCTTACCCAGTGAACTAAATGGTGGGCTCCGTGTTCTCCAGATGAGGAAGCTGAGTAACTCGCCCCTCGGCTCAGCCAGGAAGGGCAAAGCCAGCGTTGGGACCAGGGCTCCTGGCCCTTCCCCATCCTCAGGCAGCCTCTCCCCAGCTCCAGACCGTCTGCAGCTCTCCGATGTCCAGCGCTGGCCTCACCGTCTCTCCCCAAACTGGTGCCTGCACCCCCATCTTTGTAACAGGGTTCCTGTCGGCCTGGCCAGAAAACTCTTCCTCCCCCATCCAGTCAGTCTCAAGGTTCTGTTCTCTCCCCATCATTTCTCAAATCTGTCCCCTCATGATAATAGCAGTGATGAGGATAATAGCAGCTCTCGCTAATTAAGCACTTGTTATGAGACAGGCCTGCATTCATTCTCTCATGCTCACAGCAGCGCTGCCAGGAGGTACTGTTTTATAGAAATGAGGAAACTGAGGCTCAGAGAGGTCAGGTGACATGCCTAAGGTGACACGCACAGTAAATGGCTGAGCAAGGGCTTAGCCCAGGATGGGTCCTGTGTGCTTCCCTGGCTCAGAGCACATCCTCTCTTCCCCTGATTATTACTGCCACCTCCCACTTGGTCTCCATCTTGCTGGTCTGACCTGGTCTCCACACTCCTGCTAGAACTATCTTTCCAGACCATAGGTGTGATCCTGCCGTTTCCTGCTTAAGAAAACCTCTGTCCTACCCAGGATCCCAGCCCCCTGGCCTCTGGCACAGCTGCTTCCTGGCAGGCTAAGATGCTTGGTGCTCGGGCCCGCCTGCTCCCTCTCCTTCCCTGAGGGTCTGCAGCCAGCAACGTGCCCCTTCTTCCCACTCCCCAGAGGCATTGTGCCCTCCCCTCCTGTGACCTGTCCCGCACAAGGCCGGTTCCTACCTGCAGGCTTAGGTCAGTTGTAGCCCCTCGAGGCAGAGATGGTCCTGGGGCTCCCCAGCCTCTGCCTTCTATCCTGTCTTGCCATGTGTGTCCTGCTCGGTTCCTCCAGTGTCTCCTGAATGCCTTAGGGCAGGGCCCAGGCACAATTCCCTTCTTTGTCCCCAGTGCCCAGCAGAGGGCCTAGCTTGGGACAGGGCAAGAGGTCTAAGTTTGAGCCTAGTATGGTATCACCTGGCTGCTAAGAATGAAAAATCTAGCTTCAGTATTTTCCTAAAAGTTCTGTCACTTGTCTGGGGGTGGGGAGAAGTGAGGCCGAGTGATTATACTGTTGGTGCGAAAAGTAGGGTGAATGTAGCCTCTGTTCTCAGGAGACCTGTCTCCCTCATAGGCCAAGGCCTTTGAAAGGACCCTCTACCTCCCACTGGGTGCCAAGACTTCAAACCTAAAAGGGATTTTAAGGCCCCTATGGGAACTTTGAGATTCTTGTGGACCCATTACTCTCTGTTCCTGTCTCTGCTCTGGCCCTTCTGATGCCATCGTCCCCACGTGTGGTTAAGCCCATGGGTGGCTCAGGGAGAGAGAGCTGCAGGAAGCGGAGCTGGCTGGCCCTTAGGCCTGGGCGGCTGCAGAAGTGTTAGGGCCGCTGGCAAGTAGCTGGGGCTGTACTGGGCTGGCTTTCGAGGTCCAGACGGAAGAGGTCAGGAAGGAACGCCAGACCTGAATGAGACGGTTTCCTCCACACCCGAGCCCCTGCCTCTCTCAGGGGCCCCAGGCAGCTCACTTCCCCTCGAAGAAGCCCCTGTTCTCCAGGCCTTGGGTGGAGGTGGGAGTTAGGAAGAAAATAACTTCTGACCCTGGCCCCCTCTAGGAGTCCTACGCCAACGTGAAGCAGTGGCTGCAGGAGATTGACCGCTATGCCAGCGAGAACGTCAACAAGCTCCTGGTGGGCAACAAGAGTGACCTCACCACCAAGAAGGTGGTGGACAACACCACGGCCAAGGTGAGCAGGGCCTGGGCCAGGCTGCCCAGGGGAGCCTGGGCCTGCTGCCCCTCACCCTTCTCTCCCCTCTTTTTCTCTCCTCTCCCCTTGTCAGGAGTTTGCAGACTCTCTGGGCATCCCCTTCCTGGAGACAAGTGCCAAGAACGCTACCAATGTCGAGCAGGCATTCATGACTATGGCTGCTGAGATCAAAAAGCGGATGGGGCCTGGGGCAGCCTCAGGGGGTGAACGGCCCAACCTCAAGATCGACAGCACCCCTGTAAAGCCAGCTGGTGGTGGCTGTTGCTAGAAGGGGCATGTGGAGTGGGACAGGAGGGGGCATCTTCTCCAGATGATGCCCCTGGAGGGGGCAGGAGGTGCCTCCCACTCCCTCTCCTGGGGCATTTGAGTCTGTGGCTTTGGGGTGTCCTGGGCTCCCCATCTCCCTCTGGCCCATCTGCCTGCTGCCCTGAGCCCTGATTCTGTCAGGGCCCCCCAGGGAAGACACCCAGGACCTGTGGCTAGGGTGGGGCTTGCTCTGCTGCTGCCTCTAGGTAACTTTAAAAGATGCCCCACCACACACTTTCCTTTGGAACGAGGGCTCCTCTGTCTGTCTCCCTCCTGCCCCCCATGTATGCTGCACTGGGTTTCTCTCCTTCCCCTTCCTTCTCTCCCTCCTTCCCTAAAGCCGAGGGCCTCCCTGCCCTCTGCTGCCCCCCGCTGCGGTCAGTGGCCGGGGCCAGGAGTGTGGCCAGGGGATCCAGGACCTGGGATCCAGGGTCCCGGGCCGGACCTCAGGACGGGTGTGGGGGTCACAGGGGCTCAGCAGCCCACCCTTTCCTCCTCCCACTGTCTCCCCTCCCACACTCCCAGCTCGAGCCGTCCAGCTGCGGTGGGGTCTGAGCACATCGAGGGCAGGTGGGCGGGCAGCCTTGCTGGGCCTGTGTCTTGAGCCCGGAGGGAGCCTGCTCCTGCCGCCCCCTGCCCTGCCAGAGCCAGGCCCATGTACTGCCTGCCCACCGTGCCCCTTTGTCCCCACGGCAGGCAGAGGCGGAAGGCCCACTGTGCCCGACGCTGGGCACCAGCCTTAACCCTCACTCTGCCAGCACCTCCTCCCTCCCCGAGGCAGCACATCTGGCTTGTTCTCCCTTTCCAGCCCTTGGAGCCTAGTAGGGCAGATCCTCAGCCCCTGCCGCTACTTCTCTGGGGAATGTGGGTTCAACCCAGGGTTGGGGGACCTCTGCTTACCCCCTTCCCACCCAGGATTCTAGCCCCCTGCCCTCTGGCACAGCTGCTTCCTGCAGAAAAACAAACGTTTGGTCTCTACCTAAGAAGCCATGTCCCTCGTGCTGTCTCTTGCCTGTCCCACCCGTGCCCTGCCCTCCAGCTTGTATTTAAGTCCCTGGGCTGCCTCTTGGGGCGTCCTCTACTCCCAGGTTCCCCTCTGGAGTCATGTCAGGCATTTTGCAAGGAAAAGCCACTTGGGGGAAAAGATGGAAAAGGACAAAATAAAAATCAATAAATTTCCACTGGCCCTCGGGTGAGCCGAGGGTTTTTGCAAGGAAGTTGTGGTGGCCGAGCGTGGTCTGTGGGCTGAGCCCAGCCTTGGGGTGCAGGGTAGAATTGGGGCCCAGGGCTTGGTAGGACACTCTGGGTCCTGGCTTGGGCTCTGTGTCCTGGGGTCGCTGGCGAAAGCCCTTGACCCATTTCCTGGGGCTAGGAGAGCAGCCTGCTTGTGCTTCTGTGGTCTGTCCCCAAGGGCCCAGCACCGTTCTGTCAGGGAGAGACGCAGGCGGCCATCAGCGAGTACCTGGTGAGCTGCTGCCAACACCCACGCAGGCACACGGCCAAGATGTGGACTCGGGCAGCAGCCGGAGCCGGGCACACCTGGCCCGCACCTTCCAACCCCGGTTCAGCCTGCTCTCCCTGCCTCGCTCCGGCTTCCGGCCCGGAGTTTCTGCACCCTGGGCCAGTGACAGTGACAACTGCTTCCCACTTAAGGCGGGCTGTCGTGGGGAGGGCGACGCTGTGTGTGAGGCTGGGGGTGTGTGCCCGTCCCTGGGGCTGCGGTGGGTTGTTTGTGGGGGCAGGGGTGCCGGGAGTGCGCGGCCATGTCAGCGTGTCCCCGAGGGTGCGTGGCCACGGGCTCGCCGGGCGGGGGGCGGCGGCC